CGAAGAAGCTGACTGCCACTCAGATTTCCTGTGGTTCTTGAACGGGTCATAGTGGAGATGAATCCCTTGCTCAGTGTGAAGCTCAAACGATCTCTTAAAGGTACACTATGCAACCGGTGTTGATTTTCCAGTGAGGCTCCCTCCAGAGGGCGAAAGTAAAAGTGCACTGTCGTAAATATGCACAGCTGTTCTCCTGGTTTCTCCGTCAAGCCAGGCGCGGTTGTTTTGAGCTTAGCAGCGAATGACGCTGCGTTCACACTGGACGTAGCTGGCGCGACAGAAGCAGCGAGTTTACATGCAAAGTCAATGGTTGACGCGCGTCAAGGCGCAGCAAAAGGTCCCGCGGCGCGTTTTGAGCACCAGGCGCAGCACGTCTGAGCAGCTGAAGCAGCGCGTCGGGTGCGTTTAACGCAGGGAGAGAGACACAGCGCTGATGATCACTCCTCTTAAACAGTTTATTGATGCCTAAATTAACTTAAAATGCAGAAATCTGCCGGCAGAATATACAGTTTGGATTATTTAGATGAAAAACACCTACCAGCTGCCGCGGTGAACCGCTGCTGATGAAGGGATCCATACTGTTGGCGCCCCGCTGGTATGTGGGGGTCTGAGCGGCTCCGACAGAAAAAATATTAAAGGCAGGATAATAATCTGAATGAACTGACTGCACTGATTACGTTTTCAGGTGTATTTTCTCACTTAAACACATATTAAAACTACTTTATTCCCACTGATCACAGCAAATATAGCTGCAAGGCAGAGAAAGGATAGTGAAGCTCCGCCCAACGCGCCTCAGACACAGCCAGAGCAGCAAAGCTGCTTCAGCCACGCGTCAGAACTAACTGGTACAAGCAGCAAAAAGGAAGCAGCAGACGCGATTTTGCTGCTTTTGCTGCGTGAACGTAGCATAACTGCACAAAGATTGCCACTGTGCTAGCAACGAGAATGCTTTTAACTGGGGGCGTGTAGCAGTTCTCGCCGTAAAGCAAGACTGACTCTCACCAGACTTCTGAGCCTGTGGGTGCGGGTCGGTGCTCCTGCAGTTGCAAGTGCAGTATTTCCCCCACAGACCACCAGGGCGGCCGAGAATACCTTTGTTCAACCTGAAATGACTCATTTAGTCATCCATAACGTTATGGAACACATTAATTAACTGAAAAATGTTGCATAGTGTCCCTTTAAGGAAAAGTAGATTCAAACCTCCAGTTTAAATCCTTAGCTCAGTTTGAAGCTCAGATGAAGCTTCCAGGGAGAGAAGGTCCGAAACATCCAGTTTGCAGGATTAAGACTCAAGTTGACAAGAACTCAGTTTGACTCAGCAAAACTCAGCTTGGCTAGAGTACCCAAAACTGGCAAACACTCTGGCGTCGAGGTAGTGGCAGTCAGCAGCTTCAGAGCGCTCCATTAACGAGGTAACCCTCTGCAGGTGTGTGAGGAGGCGGACCAGAACCAGGCGCCTCCTGGTGGAGGAAGGGAGACAAACACAGAAACGCAAACACACAGACAGGAATCCTGACAATAAGTCATTTTTTTCTTAAGATAAGTGCATTTTTTCATTAATTCGAGAAGGTAAGTGAGACACTTTGCCAATGGAACAAGACTATTTACATTTAAAGAAGAACAAATAATTGCATTGTCTTATTTCAAGTGCATATTATCTTATTATCTACTTTTAAGAGTAGAAATAGTCATTCTCTTGGCAGATCATCTTATGTTACTACTTAAATATGGGTAAATACACTTAATTTAGGACATTTTTTTATTTCTAGATCTTTTTGAAGCGGTAAAATGGGGTTAATTTTTGTTGTGTAATTGGAATCAATGTAATTGAGATGAAAATTACATCACATTGATCTGTGATCATTTTCAATATAGAACTGCATATTGTCATAGCTTTTTCACATTGTTGTAAATCTTTTATTGATGAAGGATAATATGTTCCAATCGGTGCCATTAATACCAGTAACAATCTTTTTGCCTTTGTGTGAAAACATGAACAAAAGAAGCGATGGGATCTGCTTTTATTCCCAGAGGTTTGAGAAAACATTTCAGATTTCTATCAGTCTCGCATCAAATCCGTAATGCATAACTTTTGTTGTTTTTCTTCAGGGTTCATTGAAACCTTTTTAACATCCAGCAGCTTCAGAATCTGTCGTTGATCATATTCACTAATTATGGGGATATTGTGAGACGGGGATGAAAACAGCACAGTGTTTGATCATGAGCCTACAATGGCCCTCTAAAAGGAGCTTATTATGTGTCCCCCCTCTTATCTGGCCCTTGATATGATGCTATGGCAACAGTGTGCAAATACGTTGATCGGTGGCAACAGAGGATGGGGGGGCTGTGAAGAGGTCCTGATTCCCAAGGAAACATAGATTGATATGAGCAGAGATCTAAAAAAAAAAAAAAGAAAGAAAGAAAAAAGAAACCTTTATTTTTTATTTCCTTTAAGAATGTAGGTTATCCTTTCAAGGTGGAAGTGAATTCCTGGATCTGTAATGCCGGTACAGTATAGTCAACAGATATAATCCCACACATGAAAGCGATTCGGTCATAAAACTAATAATTACTCAGGAGTGTAATAAAGGAACTAGTTGAGATACCACACCCAGTTTCTGTAAACAAAGGCATTGTATTAAAGTGAGCATTAAAGGAAACCCCCAAAAACAGATTTAGCTAACGTTAATTTACTTTTTAAATAAAATATAGAGGATATGGGGTTCATCAATGGAGATCAACACACATGAATGGTGATACAGGTTCTCCATTAAAAACGCAGTTCTTGAAAAACGTTAAAGAAACTTTGTAGACAAATGTGTGTTTATATATATATATATATATATATATATATATATATATATATATATATATATATATATATATATATATATATATATATATATGAATTTTACTTTTACAATATTAGACCAGGTTGCTGTTGTTTTGGGTCAGTACAAGGTTCTTCATTTCTTTTATGTTAGAAAAATAATGAGGCCTTGTTCTATCATCCAATAACTTTCTTAACCTGACATTTTAAAGATAGCTGAGACAAACCTTTTTTGTTATTGATTTTTTTCTTTTCTTTTTTGTGTTCAATTCTTAACAAATCAGAAAAAACATAAATTAATGTGTTTGGTGTCAGTAAAACAAAATAATTTAACGAGATTTGCATTTTTGGCTCGTATTGAGGGAAACATGCTGCACCTGACTCTACAGGTAGCCGTCAGGGTTGTTTTAAATTTGGAAATCCTGCAGAGATCCTCCACTAAAACAGGAGGATAGCTACAGCGTCTAGCTGTCTTCTCAGACCTTTTAGAATGGTGTCAAGAAGAAGGCAGTTTCTGAAATGTGAAGCAAAGTGGTGTGGTCAAATAAACTCAGTTTATTTTGTGGTTCATTAAATAGAAAAAAACTCTTAACCACATACTTAGCCCCCTGACTGAGTAGGACACCGTTCTATTTCCTGTATCTAAGGAATACTGATCCAGATCTAAGCATATAGCTCATACTTTTGTCAGCAGGACTGCAGCTCATGCTGGCTGAAAATGGTGAGATTTATATCCTAGATGTGAAGATCCATTTGAAAAACTATGAAACCAGGATGTAAATAAAACCTAAAGATGTTCCTGTTTTATATCATTTTCAACAATGTTAGTATGACTTCCTTTTTCAGAAACCACCAGGAACTGCCTCCATTGTGGAGAATGTGTAAGCAAAGCCCTTGGCTTATTCACTGAGTAAACAGAGCAATGGTAGCTGAGGAGGAAATGAGAGAGAAAAATGCCTTTTGAAGCCAACTAATAAAAAGTACGATGTTGCAATGCTAGTTTAAAAAAAGCAGGAAGTTTCATTTAAGTATTAGTTTGCACCTAAACACCACCCCATAAATTCCAGGTATATGGGCCATCTCGGGGGGCTGAATGTTAATCAGATATCCGTCTGGTTGGAGCAGCCATTTGTGTCAAAGTTTCTAAAACTCTTAAAGTATATTAAAAATCTACATGTTCAGGTTTGAAACTTTCAGTATGATGGTAGTCCTTCATTTTTTCTCCATCCACCATGTAGAAAAACATTCTAAGAGGAAGGTGCTGCCACCACCGTGCTTAAAAGTTGGACCAGGTTCTAAAGTTTAAAAATGAAAATATATGGAAATATGGAAATATCTATTTTATTTTGGTTCTTACAAAAGATCTTAACATGTCCCCATTAAAATGTATAAAAGGGTTTATGCCAGGAAAAACTTATATGTTTTAAAAACATATAATTTAAAACTTTTAAAAAACATACCATCCTAATAAATAAATAAACCTTTCCCCGTTTTAACCACCTGCTGATATGAGGTGTGATTGAAAAATGTGGAGTTAGTCCTCCATCACCGGTTGACCTACTTGTAACGCAGCCCTATTTGTGCTCATGAAAAAGCCCCACAACATGATACAACGACTACCGTGTTTGACTGTTGGTAAAGCACTATCAGGTCCAAAAATCTTACTTTGACTTCCCTGTACTTAGTTTAGCCAGGTTGCTCTTTTGTTGTTTTATTGGCCACACATTTCTCAAGAAGTATATTCAAAGCGGTGTGTGAAGAGTAGGTTTTTAAGGGAATGATAAAAGAAATTTGATAATTTACTGCTAATTCATGGTGATAAGGATATACTCTACAAATGAAAAGGGGTTGAGTCAAAGCAGATGACAAAGTCATGACTCAAATTTCCTTTCCTGGTTGTGTTTCTAGAAGTATAAACTTCTAAGAAATAGTTTTGTATATATATATAATATTATGTGTGCTTTTTTTTTTTTTTTTTTTTTTTGCAGACTGAATAGCGGCAAACTAACTTTTTTTTTTTTTTTTTTTTTTGAATGATTGCTCAACTTCATCCTCCACTTCTATAATGTTCCGTAACACCACAGTTACTATATTCCCAGAAACGGGGAAAAATGCAAAGTCATGCTACATAGCGGCGCGGGTTGGCTGGGGAGAGGGAACTGAGAGGAGGTTCGTTCACGGTGTGACAGAGTTATCGCGAGATCTTGGAGGTGGTATAAAATCTCCAGTCGCATCAGCGAGCCAGTCTGTCGCCCCATTCTCGGTAGGGTGGTGTTTCTAAGCTGAAGGTAGGCGTTTAAAACACACTTTTTAAGTTATAGATTCTCTTTTCTGGTTTTTTGTTTGGGACTTTTTTTATAGTACGAAGCTGTATTCTCGCGGTTTTGTTACGGTCGTGTATTAAAAGAGTGCAACAAGTCTTTTTTTTTCTTTTCCTTAATCACAAAACGGATGCTTGCCTAAAAAAAAAAAAAACTGACAAAATAAACTGTAGCCTATTTTTAGCCTATTTGGGTTTATCTAAAATCAGAGTTTCTTTTTTTACATTACTTTTTTGATCTGGGTAAATGCTTGCAATTTGTTTTCGTAAAAAAAAAAAAAAAGTTTGAAAGAAATAAATAGTTTTCTTTTTCATACGGAAACACCTGTCAACGAAGAGGAGAAGTGGTGATTTATGTTTCGAAAGATGCCAGCTGATTACTGGCTTCTGCCTGTGGTTTTGAGGTTGTTTTTTTTCTTTCTTTTTGAAAAATAATCAGATTAGTTATTTACAGTACTTTCTTAAATGCCACATTTAAAACCCACCATAATTATCTGAGATTGTGGACAAAACAGAATTTAAAATCATCTTTTGGAGCTCAAACACTGTGAAGCAGAGCGAGGCTTTGAAAACTTTTTTTTTTGACGGATTTTGTAAACAGAACTTACAGCTGGGCTGATTATTTATGTTAGACTTTTTTTCTAGAATAAACACACGGCTGTAATTTTTCAATGGGGTTGTGCGTCACATGAAACCATTTCCTTCTCCTGTGATCCAGTCTAGTTGAAGATGGCTGCAGGCAAAGCAAAAATTGGAAGTCTGGCTCCGGACTTCACGGCTAAAGCAGTGATGCCAGATGGCCAGTTCATGGACCTGAAGCTGTCTGATTACAGAGGTAATTCTTATCTAGATGCATAAAAAATGTTTTTGATTTCACCATAAAAGGACAAAAAACATTCTCCTTGCTTCAATTTCCAATTCTTACAGGGAAGTACGTGGTTTTTTTCTTCTATCCGCTTGACTTCACATTCGTATGTCCAACTGAGATCATCGCTTTCAGTGATGCTGCTGATGAATTCAAGAAGATTGGCTGTGAAGTTATTGCTGCTTCTGTAGACTCTCACTTCTCTCACTTTGCATGGTATTCAACATTTCTTTACTGCAACATGCTCAATGACTTTATGAGCAATTCCCCTTAAAAGATATATATTTTAATGCGCTCTTAAAGGACCAACACGCCTCGTAAACAGGGAGGTCTGGGTGCCATGAAGATCCCACTTGTGTCTGACACGAGACGCACCATCTCAACAGACTACGGCGTCCTGAAGGAGGACGAAGGCATTGCCTACAGGTGGGCAGACATGGACCTTAATATTTCATCATTAGACGCTAGATTTCCCAGCTTTTATTTAGAGTTTTGACTGCTTTGAATGGTGTAGAAATGCATTTAAATTGTCAGCAATTTTGTGTATGTGATTATCAATTTCTTCTGTTTCAGGGGTCTGTTCATTATTGACGACAAGGGTATCCTGCGACAAATCACCATCAACGATCTGCCAGTTGGTCGCTCTGTTGAAGAGACCTTACGTTTGGTTCAAGCATTTCAGTTCACTGACAAACATGGAGAAGGTTGGTTTGTTTTCAGTTTTGCTTGCAGCCTTCTGTGACTTAAAAAAAAAACGTAATGATATGGGTTAAAAATCATTTCATGCTTATCTTTTGTTTTTGTTTTTAGTCTGTCCAGCTGGCTGGAAACCAGGAAGTGACACAATCAAGCCAGATGTCCAGAAAAGCAAAGATTTCTTCTCCAAGCAATAATAAAAGAAAGACAGCAGTCTGCCGCCTGCTCTAGCAGATTTCATTTCGATATGACATTTCCAATAATGTTTGAGTCTGCGCCTTGTCGTCATCATACACTGTATTATACTTCTGTGTAAATGGTGCCTTGCGACCAAAGTACAGTAATTATACTGTGGTAGCTGTTTTCATCTGTGGTTGTTATTTGACATGTTATTGTCTGTGGGTCCAGTTTGTTGATGTTTTATTACATCAATAACAGTTAACTTGTTAGCATTTACACTGTTGCAAAGGCAGACCACATGTTCTAAAAATGTTTTTTTTTTTTTTTACTGAACAAAAACATTATTTCACCTAAATAAATTATGCATTTGACAAAAACACTGCTTTTCATTTTTTATTTCAAAGCACCCTTTATTGAGTGTTTACTAATTTAGACTTAGACAAACTTTATTGTTTTGTATACAAAATGAAATTTCAATTATACAGCTTTCAATTATGAACATTTCCATTTAAAATAGTGCAGCAGTGATCAAAATGTAAACTGTAGGAGAGACATGGTGCAAAAGCTATTAATGTGGACTGTCCAGAGCAGTGCAAAAATAAATGGATGTGGTGCAAAATGTAGTAGAAACACTGAGGTGAGTTATATTATCAAATTTGATCACAAGTGTGCGATTTCAACAGCATTAATGGTAGCATGGAAAATGTAAATGGTGCCCTTCTGTGTAAAAGGTAAAAATTACCATACAGCATATATTGCTATATTGATATTTTAATGGATAAAAATGACTTGTAAGGATAAATGGAATTACAAAATGAAATCACAGTGGTTACTCTTGTCAGTCTGGATATCTCTGCTGTGACTGACTCATGTATACTTGCCAAGCATTGATCAAGCTATATAAAGCATTAGCAGCAATAAACCACGGTTTTAAATTACTTTTCTAAGGGCAACAAGGATGCTTCATGTTAAACTAGAAATGGAGTGCAGACTTCCTTCAATGTTGCCCCATATTGTTACACCTATAACAAAAATTTGCACATGATCTGGATCATTATCAAATTTTAATTGTTCCTTGGACTGAGCTGTACGGAAGAGGATTAGGGCCACTGAAAAAAAAAAAAAAAGTTAACTGATTTTTAAATTTCTGTATAATATAAGAAAAGTCAGAATTCTGACTGTTTTTCTCAATTCTTAGTGAATTTTGAGAGCTAACATACATGCTACCAACAAGCCGTAGCATGTACTGTATGTTGGCTCTCAAAAATGTTTGTTTTAGAGACCAGCTCTCTTTTTTTAATCACCTTCTGCTCTTCCATTAATGAAATAGTATCCTCAGACACGTAAACAGTCTCCTAATTCCCTCATTTTCCACCAATGTGTTAATGGACCTCTCAAACAACTCACATCTTTGTTAGTGAAGCTGAGTTAGTGAAGCATCTCTTTCTTTATGGTGCCCATCTACATTAAGAACAAAAATTCTGAGATTAAAATCAGAATTCTGAGATTAAAGTCAGAATTCTGATATTAAAGTGATAATTCTGAGAAAAAAGTCAGAATTCTGAGATTAAAGTCAGAATTCTGAGGGGAAAAAAAAGTGATAATTCTGAGATTAAAGTCAGAAGTCTGAGAAAAAAGTCAGAATTCTGAGATTAAAGGGATAATTCTGAGAACAAAGTTAGAATTCTGAGATTAAAATCAGAATTCTCAGAAAAAAAGTTAGAATTCTGAGATTAAAGTCAGGATTCTGAGAAAAAAGTTAGAATTCTGAGATTAAAGTCAGGATTCTGAGATTAAAGTCAGAAGTCTGAGAAAAAAAGTCAGAATTGTGAGATCAAAGTAAGAATTCTGAGATTAAAGTCAGAATTCTGAGATTAAAGTCAGAACTCTGATCCCCCCCCCCCCCCCCCCCCCCATATTAAACTGAAATTATATCAAAAAATCTGCTAACTTTAAAAAAAATTTTCAGCGGCCCTAATCCTCTTCTATAGTATGGTGCCTTTGTTTAAAAAAAACACATGAAAATCAGTTTATAACATTTCAAGTTATCTAGTCTACAGACACAACTAAAAACATAAGCTCCTTGGCAGATAATTAATGTCACCATTAAATTATAATTAAATTAAATGTGTATTTTTGCTCAATATAATTTCTTTAAGCTCAAAAGCCTTAATCTGTGTCAAACCTAATCACTAATGTTGGTTATGATAATATGGATTTATGAACATTATCATTCATACAGGAACTGTTCTTGAGCGGGAAAACTGAAATGCTTTCTATCAGATTATATCACTAACATTTTTTCACTGTAAACGGTTGTTTTATTGTTCACCAAAGAAAACTGAACTTTACACAGAGTAAACTAGCCTTTATGTATTAATATAAACTAGCTAACTCTGTCTGTTAGCTCGTTCGGCCGTTAGAAGCTAGCTGCCGGTTGACTCAGGTAGCAGGAAAAATGGCGTCCACCAAAATGATCCTTAGAGGAAAAAAGGAGGAAACCGTCGAGGTTTGTTGAAAACACACTGCTTAAATACTAACACAAACTTTTCTTTTTGTTGTTTCTATGACAATATATAAGTGTATATAAGTGTTTTTGATTTTTTCCCCCCTTATTAATCAAGCTATCACATCCAACCACAGCTAGCTTGTCCAGATGCAAATCATATAATTCAAACATTGACTTCTTTTAATATATATTAGAAGTATTTATTTATTGTTGGTGTGAGGATTATTAATTAAAGTAGTTAATCTCTCCTTTGGTAACATGGACAGATGTCAAAAATGTTCCATCTGTTAGTTTTTTTTTTTTTTTTACTTTTCACTGGACCAAGACCAGTGAAAGGATGGGATTAGCAGGGGAATTGATCCATGCTGTTTGATAACTCTAACATTATGGAGCATTTATAAACTAAGGAGAAATATTCTTCTTTTGTTAACGCCTCAATTCTTCTCTGACTGTATCTGTTTTTACATCTCCATTCTTCCTCCATATTCTATGACCTTAATTCTTTGGTAAATGAAATTGAAATTTGAGTGTTTTTTTTTTTAAACCCCATTTTACAGGTCATTTTAAGGCATCTCTAAAAGGGTCCTGCAGCCAACTTCCTGTATACGTCTGTGTGTTTTAACTCTTGGAGTAAATAAGTTGGTTAGATAAAAAATATATTGATATAGCACCATTCACCGTATAAAAAAATCCAGAGATGCTCCACAGAGCGTGTTTCACAGACAAGCAAGAAATTGAAATATACCAATAAACATTCTGTGTTAAAGTTCTATTAGAAAGAAAAAATTAAGTTTAATCAAAAATACACATCTTAAATGTATCACTTTGCGTTATAAACCTACATCATTTCTGGGTTTCACTCTTACAACTGAAGTATTAAAATACTTGTAAGCTTTGGCTAATATTCAAATTTACTGAGACCATCTGTGTTTTGTATTTATGGATTATTTATATGCATTTTTTTTCTTAAAGTGGACCGGATTATTCATGAATGACTTAAAATCCAAACAAGAGTCTCTGGTCTTTGTCAAGAGGATGTTGGCCGTGGCGGTGTCTTCCATCACCTACCTGAGAGGGATTTTCCCAGAGTTTGCCTACAGATCCAGGTACCTGGAAGGTAAGCACAGAGCAGAAATACCCTGAACTTTGCCACAGGCTACACTTCTGAAATACTTTGGATCTACACCAAACAGAGTTTTTATCACAACATTCTAAAGTATCCCCCCCCCTTTATCTCTATTTTTCTAGATTTGTGCCTCAAAGTTTTGCGTGAGAACAGCAGCATCCCTGGGGCCAACAAAGTTGTGAGATGGTAAATATATTATTCTTGCCTCAGGGAGGCTAGAATCTTGAATTTTCTATGTTTTCGGTCACGCCATTGGTAAATGATCCCTTTGTCCTTGCCTACGATTTAATCCAGGATGATGGGCTGCTTTGATGCATTAGACAAGCAGTATGTAAGTACATCCCTCTTTTATTAAACTTTGAAATGATAACAGTCACATATTCTCCCAGTTTTAACAATACTACTCTACTTTTACCATTGTTACATGTTGTCCCATAACAGCTGCAGATTATATACATTGGGGTGAGTATTTTGCATAAACTAAAACAACATTTAGATTGATTGCACTGGAAGAAATCCAAATCTAAATAAGTCAATTTTTCTTAACCCTTTATAGTGTAAATTACCATTTTTGATCACTTGCATACCCCTTAAAAATGGAGTCCCCCCTGTCTTTCAGTTAAGTCTAGAAGCACAAGATCTATATCCAGCCATTCAAAGATTCTGCTACATGGCTGTACATCTTATTTTGGCATTTGCCAATAAGATAAGCCTTTGAATGATATATTACCTACTGTAAATTAAGTTGAAAGAAAAAAGGGAAAAATTCAAGAAAAAAGGGAAAAAACCTAAGAGAAAAGTTTAAAAATAAAGTTACAAAATTAATAAGCCTAAACAAACAATTATTTTAAGGTTTATAATATAAAAGAAATTAAGTGCAAGTATCAGCATTAAAGTTTCTAAGCTTATGTTGAACCAAGAAAAATGTTTCTTTTAGTCTCAGTGTTTTTCATGAATTTTTATTATAAGCACTTTTGTTATTTTTCTTTATATATTCGGGCAAGTTGGTGTTTCTTATTACATTGACATTAATTTTTTACATTAAAATATCCATATTTTTTTAATGTTCCAAAGGTAACAAGGTTAAATGATTGGCTTGAAATTTTGATTTTCAAAGTATTTCGCTTAGTGCCCTACAAAGGATTAAATTAAATGTATTTGTTCTTGCATTGAGTAGGTAAGTGAGACACCTTGCCAATGAAACAAGACAATTTAACATAAAAAATAAGAAAAAAACAATTGCATTGTCTTATTTCAAGTGAATATTATGAAATTATCTAATTTTAGCAATAACAATGCTCACTCCATTGGCAGATCATCTTATTTACCTATTTAAATTAAGGGTAATTACTCTTAATTTAAGACATTTTTACTTATTTCTATAGTGTTTTTGCCCTGTGTAATATTTTGTAGGAAAAAAATGTACTGAAGCATTAACAGATTGTGTTTTTTTTTTTTTGTGGGGTGTGGATTTAGGTTTACACTGATCCAGAGGACCATAATGTAAGTTTTATATGAAACAAGGCATGAATATTCCTTTGCTATAACAATAATGTAAGTAACACAGGGGCAGATTTAGGAAATTTGGGGCCCTTGGCAAAAAGGGACAACAAATAAAACAGACCCATTGTACAGATATATATTTTTATAGAATAGACATATTATTTGATCTACCTTTAGTCCCTCTCTTCCTATCCCTTTTCTTGCTGTTTTCCACTCTGTTTTCTTTTGTCCCTTTTTCTTTTCATATTAGGAATGCTCTCAGCTGACTTAATGCTGTCTCAAAAAGAATAAAAGAATTTCAAATCACTTAGCTGATTGCTCCTTCCTGTGTTTTCAAAATGGTGACAGCAAAATTAAATAACCCAGTCCTTCTTTTCACTACAGACAAGACACAATCTGCTTATCTGTTCCCCATTTTTCATTTAAAAGAAATTATTGATTCATGAGTCATGACAGTAGACAAGAGAGAGGAGAGCAGGAGTCTGAGTAATGGATCTACTTACTCGGGAGAGCAGAGTTTGGTGCTTTTATATGTTGTCACCAAAATCTCCAGTAACAAAAAAAATACATTCACTAGATTTGGTGCTTTTTTTGTAATAAAAACGTTAGATGGGTCTAAAAAGTAATTAAATATAGCAACAAAAGCGCCAAGTTTGCAACACTGCTCTTCCCGCCATTTGTTTTCAATGATTTTCATCAAAAACATAACTAATGTGCACAAATAAGTATTAGCTGTATTAACCACACATGTTAAAGGAGTTTTATAGGGGTCCCAGGAACTTTGGGCCCTAGGGAACTGCCTTGTTTTACCTAATGGTAAATCCAACCCTGCAGTAACTTGAGGCATTGTTTTTTTTTTTTTACTTGCAGTGCATCATCGAGTCCTACCAGTTTAACTTCAGATACTCTGAAGTTGGACCAGAAATGGGCATACTCAGGTGTGCTTACATTTTCCTGTGATTTAAACTCATAGACACTGCCTATAAATGCATCGCTTCAATCGATGGTTTATAAACCTCTTTCTGAAAAACAGGAACAATGAGATGCAGATGCAGGTGACCCTGGAGGACACTAAGACAGCCTCAGTGCTGCTCATCAGGAAGCTCTTCCTGCTTATGCAGAACCTGGGCGTCCTTCCCAGCAACGTCCACCTCACCATGAGGCTCTACTACTACGACGACAGTAAGACTTCAACTTTTTAACTGTTGCAGAAAATTAAATAATAAAACATTACCCTCTACCCAAACCACGGGTCTACAGCCATCAGCACAATTAAATCACAAAGCAATGTTTTTAAGAATTACATTGTGGCAGTTTTTTTTTCAGTTTTGTTAAACTGTGTTGAAATTTCATGACAACAATATTAAAAGTACCTGTAATACTTCTTTGGATCTATTTTTCTATTTAAAACATCTTTAAACAAAAAATATCTTTAAACACAAAAATGAAAATAATATAGAAGACCTATTTATCCTCTTTTTGCTGTCGTTTTTCTATATTTTATAATCTAATAACAGAAATAAAATTGTGGTTCTTTGAAATAACAGATCTGTGTGAATTCAGGTACAGGTAAGCAGTCCATTATAAGATGACAACAAATTTCTTTTATTATAAACATTTAGTTTTCCTTTTTCTAAGCAGTTCAGGCAATATTAGAAGTTTCCTTTAGCCGAACTGAAGTCGGAAATCTCCCTTTGGACTCTAATAGTTACAGACCGCCTCACTGTGTGTAAATTAGTTTAAAAGGAAATATGACCTTAAAAAGGCCATTTATTTCAGGGTTGAGCAATGAAAAAATGACTGAAAACCAGAAACAACACAAAGACTTGACATCCAATGTTTGCAGAGAAGGATTAAAGATGCAGGCCTTTAGTTAAGAGGTATAAAACATTTAGTACAGATGCATGAGGACAGCCAAGTTGCAATAACAAGCTAACATCAGAAATCAACTGGGATCTTAAATAAATTCTCTACAAAAATCACATCAGAAATTAGATCCTTTTGTAGTTCACATGAATGTTAGCAATTGATCTATAATTAAGATAGAAAAAAAAGGTAAATGTCTTTTAAATTAACATCAAGATTCTTGTTGGGTCAATTCAAAATGTTAATAACTGAAGAAACGTGTTGGTAGAATGAAGGTTTCTCAAAAACTTAAAGCCACCAGGGTGTGAATCATCAAGTTGGAAACAACAGTTTTTTTCTTTTATAGCTGTTAGTTGTGATAAAGTCATTTTAATCTTTGATTTCCATTCCTAAGAGAAAAAAAACAAAAACCAACAAAGCACAGAGAATCAAGTTGTTTGTTTTCTCTGCTTTTAAAGTCACCCCTGCCGACTACCAACCACCAGGCTTCAAGGAAGGGGTGTACGACCGGATCTGGTTTCAAGGGATCCCGGTGCACTTTAAAGTGGGCCATGTGGAGACAAGCTACCACTCACTGAAAGTCCGAGTGTCTGTGGACCAAGGCCAGGTGAAGAAACTAGAGGAAGGAAACGAAGTGAAGGAAACAGCCATCCAGGTGGGTTCAGACTGCAGCACAGCAACACAGTCCACCATAGATCCTTTCTTTGTTTTGTTCCCTTATGTTGTTTTTGCTGTTGTAGAATCCTCCTGCAAGAAAAGCTGATAAAGGCACTCCCTCTGACGATGGTAGGTGAACATCTCCGTCTGGAAATTCAACCACTTAAAGCATTTTAAACTGCATTACCTTTGCTTCAAACAGAGTCTGGGCAGTTTAAGAAACAACCAAGACCGCTGAGAAAGGTACAGGACAGTATAGAGATATGACAGAAGCAAACTTGATAATGTGCAGGATTTTACATGAATTAGAACAAAAGGTAAGAACCAATGTTTTTCCTTTTTGTCAGCAGAAAAAAGCAGCTACTAAATCTGGGGCGAGGAAGAAAATTAGGATTTAGGCCAGGAGTTCAGCACGGTGTTACCGGAGTTTATTTACATCCACTGTTCAGGATCTGCTTCAGTTTATGGGATTTCTAACCACGAAGCTACAGAGATCATTAAAGAGATCATTTAAAAAAAGAGCAAACTTACTGTAAAGAGTTCAGTTCATTAGTGCAGAAATGTGTTCAGTGGTCACTGAAATAAAACCTGGTTGTTAACAGCTCGTGTTTTAGTGTTATTCATTTAGGTAGTGCTGCAAACACGTCATTCTTTAATTGATCCCCATCAATCAGAGCTGGTTTCTCTGAACATTCCCTCCCTCTGACGGCTCCTTCGCTCTGGTCGCTGCTCACACTTCCTCTGGCGGGCGGGCGGGGGTCTAAAAGAGGCTGTCCACGTCTCCCATCTCCACAAACACAGTCTTTAGCTGGGAGTAGAACTCAATCGTCACCTGGCCGTTCTCCCGTCCTATACCTGATAGATGGAAGGACGGGAAATGTACGCGATTATTGACATTTATCATTGTGAGGTGACAAACAAACTTAAATGTTTGGACAGAATTATAAAAGGAAGAAAGAAAACCTAAAAAAAAAGGTCTGCAGTTGCATATTCTCTATTTTTTAGAATTCACCTATTTAGCAAACCAAGTCCTGTGAATGATCCGACCTCAGTCTAAACTTAGCTGTTCATTCAAAGGCATTGCAGGGTTGTTGGAGAACATAAGTGAACAAACAGCTTCTTAAAGGCAGAGGAACACAGCAGACGGGTCACGGGGAAAGTGGTGGAGAACTTTAAAGCAGATCTGAACATAAAATATCCTTTAAACAATATCTGACTTCTATGTGAAAATGAAAAACTTTAGCAACACTGCAAGATTTGCAGTTCTTTTCCATGCCTGCTTTTCCTATTTTCGTTACACCTGCTTCTAAAGCTTATTAGAGCTCTGCTGATGATCTAAATGGTTTCAGTCAGGTGTTAATGGAGCAGAGACGCATCTGAAAGTTTCAGGACAGTGACCTTTTTAAGAGCATAATTTAGGAAATGAGGGCAAGAAGGAAGCCATTTGGCGGCCACAACAGACGCAGAAGATATACTGGTTTGACTGGTTGAAATTTTTGGATTTAAGGGGCTCGCTTTGCTTCAAGACAACCCTAAACATGCAGCCAGAGCTGCTGTAGATCTCAGCTTCAGAAATGGCCTATTCAAAGTCCAGCAAAAATGCAACGGAGAAGCTTGCAGGACTCAACAACAACAAAATAAAAGACTGTCTGTGTGTTGAGAGAATGTGAAGATGTTCCCCCTGAAATAATTTCAGTAAAATCTTTAAAAAGAGTTCAGCCCTTCCATGAGTCTTGCTTAGCTTGAATGTGAGAGATGGAGAGGCTGGATCCTTTATTGTCTATATCCCCCAGAATGCTGTGCGCTTCTGGATAAGCATTCAGGAATATTTTACACATTTGATCAGGCGTTTGTTGTGATACGTGTCGTCATCATTTTATTGCCTGCTCCAGCACTATATAATAATATAATATATATAACAATACTAATGTATTATTATACCAGGGGTCTGAAACCTGAGGCTCCGTGGAGGTGTGGCTCTTTTGATCCCTACAGTGGCCCTTTAAAGTGGTTAAAAATTGACTAATTTTTGCATATAGTAAATGAAATACTTAGAAGATTAAGTTGGTTGTTAAAGATTGTTGGAATTTGACTTTCAAAACAGAACGATCTTAAAGAACCAGGAATATATCATACAAACAACATTTCTTTTGCCATGAAGAAACTATTTTTATTTTTTACTTTAATAATATTGTATATAAAAAAATGAATGCTTCTTCTTAATAAAACATTGATGTTTTGTCCTTGTTGTAACCCCGTAAAGCACATGAAATAATGCTGAGGAAAATACAATTCAATTTTTATAAAAGCTAGAGTTGTCAGTAAACATTAAATTATGACAAAAACAACAACAGTTTATTGAATAATTTGAAATAAATTAGTTATTTGTGTCATTTGTGATGGATTAGGCATCTCTGAACTATTATTTTATAGATTTTCTGTCTGCTGCATTTGTCTGATTATATTAATCAGGATATTTAAAAAACAGATTATTTCCCACTGATAATGAAGATGTACATTGATGAGATGCATTGGGTGTTAAAGTCTTCAAAGCTAAAAGCACAACCACACCGTTTGGTATGTGAAGTGGCAACAGATTTTGTATTACAAGCTTTTTTTTTTATTTTATTTAAAGTTCATGCAATATTTGCGGCTCTAAAGGACTTTTATTTAGCTGGGCTCCAGTTAAAATGGCTCTTTGGATTAGAAAGGTTGCAGAACCCTAGATTAGTAGGTTGATCACTCCAGGAAGCCTTTAGCCCCCGTTCCCTTGGAAAACACTTAGTCTGTACCTGACATTTTGAAGCCTCCAAATGGAACCTCCACCGGAGTGATATTGTAGTTGTTGATGAAACAGGATCCGGCTTTGAGCTGTTCCACCACACGATGGGCTCGGGTCACATCCCTGGATACAGAACGGTGCATTAGGCGAACAACAACCTTTACATCATTTACATGCTCTTAATTACATTTTCTTAAAGAAATACAATGACTAATGAAGGTACGCTTTCTCCCCAATCATTTCTCCTTTGAGTTTAGGCATAAATACTTCCATTTGGCAGTTTGATTTTTTTTTTAAACACACACTGACCTTGTGAAGACACCAGCAGCCAGACCCAGTGTAGTGTTGTTGGCCCTCTGCAGAACCTCCTCTTCCTTTTCAAAGGACAGCACAGACATGACGGGACCAAAGATTTCCTCTTTCACACAGGTCATCTCATCAGTGCAGTCACCTGTGGGCAGGTAAAGGAGACCAGGAGAAAACCTGACAGCTTTTATTGGGTTTATACAATTTAATCAACTCATGTAAATCGCTAAAATCTGTTTTAATAGAACCACAGCCAAAGCTTCATTAAATAAAAAAGGAATATGTATTCTCTGCATTCATTGATGACAAAATAACAAAAGACTAAAGATAATGTTCTTGAGTTTACTTCTGTTTTCTGGGTTTTTGTCTCCCCCTGCTGGACTCTCTGATTTGGTAGTTTTTGAATTAACCAAAGTTATTTTACATGTTTTGAAGTTTGTTAATAAAAAAAAAAAAACAGAGTAAAAAGTCTTACCGAGGACACACGGCGTCATGTAGTATCCACCTCTGAGTTTAGGATCCGATGGGACTAAAGGTTCTCCTCCACACAACACCTTGGCTCCCTAATAGCAGCAGCATGACGCATGTCAGCGGTAAATCCACAGACATGGGGGTAAGTGTTTTAAGAGCTGTACCTCTTTTTTTGCTTGCTCTACAAAGGATAACACTTTGTCCAGATGTGGCCGGCTGACCAGCGCTCCCATTCTGGTGCTCTCCAGCAGTGGGTCTCCTATTGTAATCGCCTGAGTTCTCCTAACCACCTCCTTAACGAACTCGGCCATAATGTCCTTCTGCACGTACACCCTGGTGCCATTGCTGCAGACCTGTGAGTTAACCATTAAAAACGTAAAGATATGAAGACAGAGCTGGACCCAAAATACACAGGTGTGATAAATACTCTCCATATGCATTTTGAATGTTTTTTGTATGCAGATTTAATACCATGAGGCCCAAATATATCACAAGCATGAGGTTATGCTCCTTCTCTGCTCTCTCTTGTTTTTTATGCACCAGATTTTCTCCTACTCTCATGTTGATCTGTTTCTGTGCGCTTCTGTTAAATTTGTGGAACCAATCTGAGAAAGTAAACTGCAGGTGACTGGCTACTTTTAGGAAAATCCTGCCCCTTGAGACATTACTGCTTTCTTCCTAGTTGTGGCTATTAATGTTAGCAAACATCTTTAAGCTAATTGTTGCTCTTTTAAAAAGTTAAGTCAGGGTTTGGTCAGGGTTTTCACCATTGATAAGAGGTAAATTTTTTAGTCATTCAAAGGTTCTTTACATGTAAATAAAATGAGTGTGTCGGCCTGATTTTCAGTTTAAGTGTAGTGGAGCGTAATCATTAATGGAATAGTACACCCAAAACATGATTAGCCTTCATTTTCTACTCACCCCCATGCTGAACAACACTCTGGAGTACTTTTTTGATATCTCAAATGCATCTGGAGATCTGGGAGGCTTCTTGCTGTCTGCTGACATTCAAATAATGGAGGTCTATGGCGCCCGAGGCAGAAAGGTCCATAAAAGTCCACAAAAGACGTTTCAATATTCCTCCATACTGTTCGTCCAATGTATTCCAAGTGTCCTGAGTGGGTAGCATCCAGAATTTACTCGAAACAAAGTCATTTAGAATGTTTTTAGAGCATAAACAGTAGTTTATAGGATTTCCTGAAAGCGCGCACATGCGCGATCACGACGCTACGGAAGCCGGCAGACCAAACCAGCGCATTCAGCTCGGCAAAGAACTCATGCTCTTCCTCAACACTGAAGTCCTCAGACATTTTTCTTTCGTTGTTTCTTTCTTTGCACAGGTAAACGGCGCATTTCTTCTTCTACGCTTGCATTATTGGAAGAGCAGACGCTGAATGCGCACTTTCATCTGGTTTGGTCTGCCGGCTTCCGTAGCGTCGTGATCGCGCATGTGCGCGCTTTCAGGAAATCCTATACACTACTGTTTATGCTCTAAAAACCTTCTAAATGACTTCGTTTCGAGTAAATTCTAGATGCTACCCACTCAGGACACTTGGAATACATTGGACGAGCAGTATGGAGGAATATTGACACGTTTTTTGTGGACTTTTATGGACCTTTCTGCCTCGGGCGCCATAGACCTCCATTATTTGAATGTCAGCAGACAGCAAGAAGCCTCCCAGATCTCCAGATGCATTTGAGATATCAAAAAAGTACTCCAGAGTGTTGTTCAGCATGGGGGTGAGTAGAAAATGAAGCCTAATCATGTTTTGGGTGTACTATTCCTTTAAGCGTAATTTCTCAATAAAAGTATAACTTGGTCACGAATGTGTTTTAACAACAGTAGCAATATACTGCAAATATAAATGATTCATGTTAAATTTAGAACTTAGTTTGAGCTAAGTTAACATTAGCTTCACTGTTTATATTAAAGATAATGAGACTTAAATTAACTCTCATATCTAGTTCAGGGTTCCCGCGGGTCCTTAAAAAGTCTTAAAAGGCATTGAATTCTTCAAAATAAAACTAAGGCCTTAATTGGTATTAAAATGTCTTAAATCAGTCTTTCGTAGGTCTTATTTTTTAAAACATCATAAATAGGATTTTTTTTTTTTACGATTTATTTTTGTAATCTAAATAAAACGTTAAAATTTACAGATTTTTTTTTTATTATTTAAAAAAAAATAACGGCTCGCCATTATTGGTTCCGTCCCGATAGCGGAACCAATAAAAGCGTTGTTGCGGCCGGGACATTTGGGAGATGCACCATTAACTTTTTGTCTGGAAAATATGAGCAAGTGTAAATGTAACTAAAATTGTCTCCAGCCAAGAGTTTTCTCCATGGCTAAAACCAGGGAACATACATGAGGCTCAGTGGATTTTGTGCAAGAAGTCATTCAAGCTCGGAACGATGGGAATTAAGGCAGTGGAGTCACACATGCGAAGCGCGAAACACAAAGCATCAAGTAGTTAGAGAGAAACAGCCGGTATTTCTCAGTTTAGTTCCACCCTTGTCTCTGCAACGCCTCCACTTATCACCAAATCAAACATACTAAGAAAACCATACAAAGAAAAATAGCTGCAAAAAAGACTTAGCACTGGTTATTGTTGGGGCTTTAAAACTGATTTGTTTTGTTCCCTGCTAAAACAAAGTTTGTGAATTCAGTTAAATAATTGTTAAAATATATCCGTCATTTGTGTGTTTTTAGCTTTCTTCCTGTATGGGAAGCTTTTTAAAATTTGACACATTAGTGCAGTGGTTTATGTTAAAATAAACCTTTGGGTTAAGTTGTCGCAAGCGGGTTTTTCTTGTTTCTTGTGAATTTGGTCTTAAATTTCAAGTGGCATTAAAAAGTCTTAAATTTAACTTGCCTTATTGCCTAGCTGCAATTAGAAAAAGCTGTATTGTCTCTAGAGGTGGGATTTCCTTAAAACTAGCCAATCAGTTTACTCTCTCGGGTTGGTTCCACCCTTAAAGTGACAAAAGTTGACACAAGCACACATGTTTTCAACCAAAGTGCTGCTATGAATATTTATTATCCTTATGCTGTCTTGTTATATTGCTGACTTCATCCGAATCAGTGTGCTCTACCTGGCCTTGAGACAGGAAGTTGGCCATGAGCGCTCCTCTCACGGCGTTCTCTAGATCACAGTCCTTGAATATGATCACAGGAGATTTCCCCCCCAGCTCCAGAGTCACCGGCTTTATTCCCTTTGATGCCATTTCCATGATCTGAAAGTCACATTAAAGACGAACCATCAGTCCTTCCTTTATAGAAATATTAAATTGAATAGGGTAAAACACAGACCTTCTGTCCTGTGGGCACACTTCCTGTGAAGGACACCTTAGCGACATCAGGGTGGTGACACAGTAAGCTGCCTGTTTCCTGTCCACCCTGCACCACATTGAACAGCCCCTCTGGAGCTCCAGCCTTGGCATAGATCTCAGCCAGTAGCACCGCTGTCACTGGTGTGACTGGTGATGGCTTGAACACCATGGAGTTACCTGTTTTGGAGAACATGAAACAGAATATCAAGTGAGGCCTAAATTCTTGGACTTATTGTTTGTATAATGATTGCTCTCACACTGTAAAATTATGTTAAACTTTGTGCGTATCTTGGATAGATATGTTCTGAAAGCTCTATCAGTTTTGATCTACTACCGGATGGTCAGAAGTCTAGTGTTAAAACACACTATGGCTAAAACATTCAAAGCTGTCGGTTCAGTTCATCCTTAACATGAACTAGTTCTAAATTCAGTCCATCCAGGTGAATTGAATAAATTGATTCGCGTTGATTTGAACTGCCTCTTCTTCTTCGTCTTTGCACAAAATTCACATAACATTTGGATGGAAGCATATTCTCCTTATTTTTTTTTACTAGTTTTATTTTTGTTATCAGCGTACTTTTTTTAGAAGAATCTGTGAGATGGAACTGAAACTTCCCACAGTATTCTCTAGCTTTTATCTTTTAAATTATTGTTTTTGATTGAAAAATAAAGAATTTATTTTAGAACATGTTAAAAAAATACACCCATAATTGATAAAGCTTATAGAGCGGCTCAGGTTATCCTGAAATATCTCTATAGTTATGCTGCTATAGGCTTAGACTGCCGGAGGACATAGGGACCCCTTTTTCATCATTCGGCTTCATTCTATCTCCATTCTCCCATTCTGCAGATTTTTTTAGTTCAATCTCTAATGTTCTGCTCTCTCTGCTTTTTCTCATAGTAGCTTCGCGTCGTCTGTTCCCGTTTGGCTGTGACTCCATCATGGACAGAAATATCAGCTGTGCTGCTGCCATCAACACCTTTGTTTATAGATGTTTGACCTCAGTCTATTTTTCACTGTAGTCCTGTTTCTCTGACTGTGATTGGCTGGATTTGCTCTCTTTATCCCCTGACATGGGAGCTGACTCGGAGCTTGTCTGCCTGGCTGTGTGTTTCCTGGATGGGGCCGCATGTGGAGCTGGTTGATAAATTCTTTTGTATCTTTGCTTCTTTCTGTATGTCTGCTCCTGTCTCCTTGAACCCCAGTCAGCCTCGGCAGATGGCCGCTCACACTGAGCCTGGTTCTGCTGGAGGCTTCTTCTTGTTAAAAGGGAGTTTTTCCTCTCCACTGTTACTACAAGCATGTTTGGTGTTAGGGATTGCCTTCTAGTCGATGCGATCGACTGGTTTTTCTTAGGTAGAAAACTTTGAATCAATTTGACTGGATGATCTGGTGAATTGTAAAGTGCCTTTAGATGACGTGTTGCGAATTGGCGCTATATAAATAAACTGAATTGAACTGAACTATTTCTTGTGCTAATTTTGAACAGTTTGGCCTTAATTTGGAGTTGAATGTCTTTAGAGCTTCAGAAGAATCTCCCTACCACAGGCCAGTGCTGGAGCGGACTTCCAGGCAACGATCTGGAAGGGATAATTCCAGGCGCCGATGCCTACGCACACTCCGAGAGGCTCCCTGCGGGTGTAGGCAAAGGATCCCCCAGGTAGCTGAACATGCTGGCCTTGGCAGAAAAGAAGCAGAAAACCATTTAAAACAGAGGATTCGTTTAGAGAACTGATTTACTACACATTATGTCAATGGCTAAAGGACAAATATCAGATAGATTTTTGATCCAATTAAGCTCGGTTTTGAATAAGGCATTTTTGTGCTAATACCTTTGGTAGGATCTGAATTAGATGATGGGATATTTAGAGATTTTTTTTTATCGTCCAAATTTCACAATAACATTGTCCTTCACTTTATATGTCGTATTTTGCCTGTATTTTATCCATTGCAAACTGGAGCGGTTGACCTTTCATCTTTTCTAAAAAGTTTTATACACCCTTCACATCACCATACCCATATTTATTTTAGAAAGCAAGTAGAAATAAAACAAATGGACAAATGCACTGCATACGCAGCTGGTACCAACCTGCCAAAGTGCTGGCCACTCCTGCGTAATATTCTATACACAGTCTAGCAGAGTCCACATCTAAACGGGCCTCAGTGATGGACTTCCCATTATTGACCACCTCCATCTCAGCGATCTCCTCTCTCCTGCTCTGTGTAAGACAACCAGGGGTTAATACCTTTAAATGAATCGCTGTTGGAAAGACTAAATGATATAAAACTTGAAACACCTCGATTAAATGAGCAGCTTCTATCATGATCCTTGCTCTCTCCATCCCTGACATTCTGCTCCAGGGGCCAAATGCCGACTTAGCCGCCTCCACAGCCTGACTGACATCCTCTTTACCACATGGCTCCAAATGGCACAAGACACGGCCTGTAGGTGGAAACAAGAAACAAGACAATCAGAAAGATAAGCTGCAGAAAAAATATCAAAACATCATAATTTTTCTAGATCAGTAAGGATAAAAATTCAAGTCATACAGATCTGTTGCCTTCCTAAAGTATTTATTCTCCTTTTGGTGTGTTTTTCTGTGTATGTCTCAGCTTTGAGCATCTATGTTTCTTATTTTTGTTTGTAAAGTAGTTTAAGCTTAGTCAGATTTGATAGGAAAAAAATATATAAACACCCTTTTTTAATATAGGAACATATTCTATATTGACTGGAAGTCTGGACTTTGACTAGACCGTTCTATCGCATGAATAAACTTAGATCTTTAGAAACACAACTCTGGCAGTATATTTGCCCTTATTCTGTTTGAACCATCATCATCATCATCTTTTTTTTACCTCCTGAAAACCATTCCCTAAGCAAGACACTGCCACCGCCATGCTTTTAAAGAGAAGATGATGTGTTGCATTTGTATGTATAGTTTTGCATTTGGTCCAAAAGTTTCTATTTTGGCCTTGGAGACAAGTGTGCAAAAACTATGGCGAACACGACTTCTGAATCAAGACTTTTATTCACAATTATGCAATATGCATATTGTACTTATAACATTAAAGTCCATAAAAAGAAACATGGATGCAGGGAAATTCTTTTGCAAGGCGTTGTACAACACAAGTGATACATATAATTGTAATTTGCTGAAAAACTGCACCTGCATACCATGTTTTTAACTGATATTGCTTAAGGCTTAAGAATAAGTCATTATCAAACATCAGTGAGCAAAGTCCATTGAGGAAACAGCCTTCGCTGTGTGACTTACCCGTGGCGGGTTCATAAACTTTCTCCTTATCGCGTTTTTCTATGCTTCTCCTTCTCTGTCCAGCCCAGAAGTTTAGCGGGACGTTGATGCTCACCGAGCCCGTAGACAAGCACCTTACTGCGGCAGAAAGCATGGGAACGGAAGCGGGGAGAAATCTCCGGATCATTTTTATAACCGACCCGTTTACCTCAACTTTAAACACTGACTGTAAACAGGAGAGAAAAAAAACAACAACAACCATACAGGTTAAAGTCATGCGAAAAGTCCGAAACAGTTGATTATAAACGCGAACATTTCCTCGAATCGTAATATGTGCTGATATTTTTGTAACAGCTTTAGCTCTCCTACGCACTTACAGAAAAAAAACTTCATATAAACCGTTGAGGCAATTATTATAGCTTCTACTATAATTGTGAAGTCAACATTTCGACAGTTCTGCACAAGCTTAGCAAGAGGCGGGGCAAAGTGACGTTGTCAAACAGCGACCATTAGAAAGATGCGCGCACGCCGCCATATTGCGAGTGGCATTTTTAATGATTAGATCACTTTGAATGGCAGTGAAACGCAAAACAATTGACAAAATCGTAAACAGTACAATTATAATTTTATGAATTTGTTTCAAATTAAAAGATAAAAACCTAAAGCTACAAACTTATTGTTATTTTAAAGCAACTATTTAGAATAAGTAAACAAAAAAGGCGGAGCAAACTGACGTTGTCAAACAGCGACACTTAGAAAGATGAGCGCACGCAACCATATTGTGAGTGGCACTTTTAATGATTTAGATCAACAATAATGGTAGTGAAACGCAAATGAAGTTACAAAATATAAAACAATACAACTATAATTTTATGACTTTGTTGCAAAATAAAAGATAGGAACCTAAAGTTAAAAACATTCTATTATTTTGAAGCAACTAATTAGAACAAATAAATAAAAAATCTGTAAAATCTCTAATTACTTTTTTTATTGATTCAGTCAGAAGTCAAATTTTTGTCTTCAGCACTAAGAGCACTAAAACAATTAAATAAAAAAAGATAAACTAAGGCGCTAAATACATTTTCATTTCATTTAGTTTGCTTTTTTTAAATGTTTTTTTTTTTTTTAGAGAGACACTACTTTCAGCAGCAGACAGAAGAGGCAGGAAGTCTTCCTGTGCCATCTCTGTCTGCACATGTTTGTTCCTCTGACCAAATGCGGGCAGAGTAGCCAAAAATAGTTCGAGAGCAGCATTACATCAAAAATAATTTTCCTCGAGGAGAATAACGATCTTTTTTTAGAGAAAACCAACTTAAATCTGCTTTTCCTATCTGTGCTGCCACCGCTCAAAGTAATGTATAAAAACAAAACACTTGATAAAACTTATTTCTGAACGTAAATGAAATAAAAGTTAATTTCTAACATTAAAGTTGGTCATAACGGTGTAGGCGTGCTCAGCAAGTGGGAGGAGCTTCCCCTCAGTGATGTTCCAGCGCAGCGGCTCTGGCAGCACATTGCAGCGATGGCCGGAGACAGTGAGGCTCTTCTCAGGGACCGGGATGAGAACACCAACGTGATTCGGCAACCTTTTCTCATCGGTGTCTCCGGTGGCACAGCCAGCGGCAAGGTTGGCCTTCTTCTTAGCCGTTCCTTGTCAACTCTTAATAATTTTATTACTTATAATTGAAGTCGCAGCTGCCGTTGGCACAGTAACGGGATGCTAAAGCTAATGAGCCGCGTGGCTGCTGTGACGCATCGGGTACATTGTCAGCCACATCACCTGTTCATCATAACCGCCCGGGATATCCGCTCGGTCCGGGGAGTCGATCGGCTGTAAACCTGAGCTTAGTGTTTATTTTCCCCTTATATCTGTTATTTTTCAGTCCAGCTGGTTTCTTTTCCTTCAGCTCTGCCATGCTGCTACCCTGGGCTGGATTCCATCATATGTTAGCGGATTCGGTAAAACAATAGCTAATGCTAACGGGACGAATCTGTTTGTAAACATTGGTGAGCTCTGTGCTTTTCCGAATCCGTTTTATTTCAGAAAAATATTAAAAATCATTCACTAGAAATCTTTCTCTTAGTATTTTTTATTAATTCAATTATTAATATTGTTGTATCGAGATTATGGGCGGATGGTAAGCACAATGTCCGCGCGAAAGTGCCGAATAAAAGATTTCGCCCACGTCTGTTCTCTCATGTAGGAGCAGCCAGTAGCTGCAGCGTGGGATGACAGGCATCGGAACAGATGCGCTTTAACATGTGAGACTCTGAGTGATCAGTTAGTCCACAATGAAACCTGACTGTCAAATAAAAAAATAAATAAACACGCCTTAGATGGTCGGGGTCCATGATGTTTTCAAGAAATCACAGATTTAAGTTTCTTTATGAAATTAATTTAAAGCCATATGTTATTCCAGTTTGAAGCCATCAAGTCCACACTAGAAATACAATATGATATGTTGCATCGATTTATGAATTAGGGAAGAGGATTAGGGCCACTGTAAAAATAAAATGGAAAGTTAACTGATTTTTTTTATTTTTCATTTTAATATGGGAAAAAGTCAGTATTCTGACTTTAATCTTAGTATTCTGACTTATTTCTCAGAATTCTGACTTTAATCTCAAAATTCTGACTTTAATCTCAGAATTCTGACTTTTTTTCTAAGAATTCTGACTTTTTTTCTAAGAATTCTGACTTTTTTTCTCAGAATTCTGACTTTAATGTAGATGGGCACCATTAAAGGGATACCGGTAGTTCGGGATTTTTGACATGAATCTGTATGGCATCCCCATCACCAGTGTCATGCAATCACACTGACTTACCCCTGGCAGCATCCTGTGAGCAGAGTTCTCGTCCAGCTTTGGTCAAGCCGAAAGTAGTCCGGCAGGTTTGCTAGACCCAGCGAAATAAAACGTTTCTCTTCCCAAAACATTATGTGTTCAAAAGAGCGATAGTTTTGCATCCCAAAAACATTGTAGTGGAAAAAGTCACACGTCGTTATCACTTGGTCCTATTTTCTCTCTGTTCGTATCAGTGCGCGCGACACCATGACCTGACAGCTAGGGCCTACTAACCTGACAACAGCCAGATGCGTGTCTCGCTCCGCCTAGCTAGGCGGAGCGAGACAAGCATCTGGCTGTTGTTGAGCTCGCTGTCAGAATGACGGCGCGCACTGATACGAACAGAGAGAAAATAGGACCAAGTGATAACGACGTGTGACTTTTTCCACTACAATGTTTTTGGGATGCAAAAATATCGCTCTTTTGAACACATAATGTTTTGGGAGGAGAAACGTTTTATTTCGCTGGGTCTAGCAAACCTGCCGGACTACTTTCGGCTTGACCAAAGCTGGACGAGAACTCTGCTCACAGGATGCTGCCAGGGGTAAGTCAGTGTGATTGCATGACACTGGTGATGGGGATGCCATACAGATTCATGTCAAAAATCCCGAACTATCCCTTTAAGGAAGAGATGTGGGAGCACTCAGCTTCACTGACAAAGATGTAAGCTGTTTGGGAGGACCAGTAACACATTGGTGGAAAATTATGGAATCAGGTAGCCTGATAAACCAGACTAAATATGAGATTAAATATGATTTTGGCCGCTAGTGGCTGGGGCTCATTTACTATGCTATAAATCAGACAACTTTTTACGTGCCCAAGGGGCCCCCCATGATGCTATTTCATTAATGGAAGAGCAGAAGGTGATTTTAAAACAAGAGAGCTAGTTTAGTCTCTAAAACAGACATGGCTACAGCTTTTTTATTTTTTCATTGGCCCCAATCCTCTCCCGTAACACGAATATTGTGTACGTGTGATACATCTTTACATTTAAGCCCCGCCCCTCTGATTTATTGTCGTGTGGATGATATCATATCCCTTTGCGGTGGGTCTTTTTATAACCACCTGACTTAGTGTTACCCTTCCCATCAGCCTATAAGGTTTGAAATAAAATTTCAGCCACATATATTATTTTGGTTGGACACCATTAAGTAGCTGCTGCAGCATTTGGTTTTAAAAAATGCATTCTACTTTGAACTGAACAGATGATTCTCAATGTATAAATTATGTTTAGAAGAGGATTGTAATAAAATGTGCAGGTGGTGTTAGTGCTCTGATTCTAGGGTGTATTTCAACCAATTTGTCTTAAAAATGCTGCATTTGGTCGAATTAATTGCTACTGCCACGGGGGGCAACAAAACCGATTGCTGCACAGTTTTATTGGCACAAAGACACCTAGGCCTCAGGAGGGGAGGGGATTGCTCAGTCAGCAATGAGCTGCTGGGGTTAGTGAGTGCACTTGATGGTCCACAGTGCAGCTTTATCATTTAACTCACTGCTAAAGGTAAGGCGTGCGCCACCTAAGGTAGGGAGGGGGAGATGGACTGGATGGGTTTAATTTGGCCTGTTGAAAGTTTGATGTTTACTATTGGTTCCTTTTTTTTTTTAAACAGTCATCTGTGTGTGAGAGGATCATGGAGAAGCTGGGCCAGAATGAAATAGACCACCACCAGCGACAGGTGGCCATCCTCAGCCAGGACAGCTTCTACAAGGTGCTGACTCCAGAGCAGAAAGCCAAAGCACTAAAGGGCCAGTTCAATTTTGACCATCCAGGTATGGAAAGACGTTAAAACTCTTCACATTGACGGGACCTGTTTCTTTGCTATTTGAAATTAAGCCAGTAAAGGATTTAAAAAATTAAACGTATCATGTTCCTTTGCTTTCCCCTTAGATGCCTTCGATAACGAGCTCATCATGCAGACGCTCAGACTGATCCTTCAGGGAAAGACTGTGCAAATCCCAGTTTACGACTTTGTCACCCATTCCAGGTGAGCGTTTCCCTGACTCACCAGCTCAGATTATTTTTGCCTCCCACAGGAGAGTGCTTTTTACTTACTAGTCATAATAAGAAGTCCTGTAAAGTGATTATTTTGGTGCTTTTCTTCTGGTCCTTAGTTTTTTTTTATTTTAAATCATGTCTGAATGCAGTCAGCCACAAAGAAAAGGAAACTTTTCTGTGTGTTGTTCCAGGAAAGAGGACTTTGTTACGGTGTATCCGGCAGATGTGGTCCTGTTTGAGGGCATCCTCATGTTCTACTCTCAGGAAATCAGGGATCTGTTCCAGATGAAGCTGTTTGTTGACACAGATCCAGACACGCGGCTCTCGCGTCGAGGTGTATAGAAAGATCGGACAGGACACACACAGCTGCCACATAGTATTTTGTCACTTAGACTTGTTTAAAAGTAACTTAAAACATCTATTTTTTGTAATAAGTTGACTGTCAGGCAAACTATAGCACTTGGATTCTACAGGGCTAAACTCTGCTAAACATCTTACCATGTGTGTTTTCTTTTTTCAGTTCTGAGGGACATCAATGAGCGTGGCAGAGAGCTGGAGCAGGTGCTCAGTCAGTATATAACTTTTGTGAAACCGGCCTTTGAGGAGTTCTGTTTGCCGGTAAGAAAAGCTGCCAGGATTTTCCTGCAATGACAGATATTGGTGTTTAAAAAAGCTGAAATGTCATTGATATTTATTATACATTTAGAATTTAGTTTTCAGTGTATATTTACTCCAGAATGGTGATCTATATTTCGATGATATAAGAAACTGGGGACCAGTTTCTTGTCATAATGTAAAGCAAATATGTGAGAAATCAATGCTGCTGTTGCATATTTGATCCACTAGGTGCTAATGTCCCGTTTTGCTTTTGTTGTTGAGAAAAATGTTGATTTCAGCTTTTAATTTGAGCTGCATTGGTAAATCATTGGATTTCCTTTAACTAGAAATTTATTTCCCTTCTAGACCAAGAAATATGCAGATTTGATTATTCCCAAAGGGGCAGATAACCTTGGTAAGTGAAGGCTGGTTGTTGTTTGTATAAACACAGTAGGGCAGAGGTTGTTAACTTTCACCTACCAGGAAAAAACGTAAACTTTGTTGAGTGTAATGTCAACAAAATCAGCCAGGCTCCTGATTTAGATCTTGCATTTGTCTGCCTATTGTATAATAGAAAGTTACATATTTTTTTGTGTGTTTAAGGTGAAAATAATAGAAAAGGCTGTAGCAGGATTTGATTACTTCCTTAATGTTTGCATATTTACTGCATTTTTGAGCAATCAAGCATTAAGCTTCCCTTCAGGAGACACTATTCAAGATCTCAGTAACTTTACTGGAATTGCTTAGCACAGGAGATCCAAACATCTTTGTTTCTTTTTAAAACCTTGCTGATGCTCGTAGGCTTTCCAAAGCAATTGTTAGGGTATTGCAATTTTACCTTGTGTCCATTTTCTATATTCTAGTGGCCATCAACTTGATAGTCCAGCACATCCAAGACATTCTTAACGGTGGACAGACCAAGCGTCAGAACGGCTTTGTGAATGGACACAGCACGCCCCGGCAGCGGAGAACCTCAGAGTCCAGCAGCCGGCCTCACTGACATCGCCTCGCCTCTCTTCACAGGGCGGAGAGGGGTGTGGGTGTCCCACTGTAAATAACGCCACCCTGGCTATCCTGTATTTAAGAAGCAAAAGACAGAAGAGTAACGGAAATGCCTTGCATCGACTCCCCTTTTGTGATCGGTTATATTTGTTTTTGTTAAAACTTGTTTAAATTTTTTGTTTAAAGGATTAAGAAGGGTGCTCTTATAGAAACCTCGGTTCCATTTTAAACCAGGTTTTCTCCTCCCTTTTATTTTTTATGTGTCCCCTGCTGAATAATGGAATATTTTGCTGTTGGCAAATAAAAAAAGCAACGTTTTGTTTTTAATTTTCTTTTTTTTTTATCTGGTAAAACTTGAAGCCCTGATGTTTTGGGGCACCCTGGAAATGTTTGAAACTCACGGTTTAAAATTGGCCAAAGGCAGGTTTTCTGTCTGTATCGACAATCTTGGTAGTGTGTGTCACCATAGATTAGTCAAAAATCTGTACAGCCCTGATGCTTAATTTGTGTAACATTACAGATCTGTTTTTTTTCCACCCACCTTAAATTGTACTATTTAACAGAAGCATTGTTACTGCTTATAGTCATGTCACACATCGGAGGCAAACGCTTTATGATTAATCCAGAAATGGTTCTTTCATGGAATTGAAATAATTTGTAGCCTGTCTAAACAGGTATTTTTAATTTTAAAGCAAGATTAATTTCTAAATTAATTCCAAAGGTGCTTTTGCTCGCTCATTCAGCCAAATCAACTGTGATGACATAGACGGACTCAGGGTTATACAATTGGCCTGAAATGCCACATCATCAATGGGTGGTTTGGGAGGGGGGGATCAACGTCGCAGCAATAGCAGTCATTCCGGGTGTGTGGAGAACAGCCACCATAATGCCTAGGGGAAGTTGCCTCAGGTTCTCATGCACAGCAAATCTCAACACTAGAAACCAACCTCTGCCTAAAAGGGTTTCAATTAAAATTTTTTAATGCCAAGTCCTGTATTTGTGATGTACACTTGAATGAATGAATTTTATTGTATGGCTGGGAAGTAAGGCTCTGATTGGTTAGTTGCCTGATGGTAAATAAACTGATGCAGATGAGTTTTGTTTGGTGTTATTTATTTAAAGGTACACTATGCAACCGGTGTTGATTTTCCAGTGAGGCTCCCTCCAGAGGGCGAAAGTAAAAGTGCACTGTCGTAAATATGCACAGCTGTTCTCCTGGTTTCTCCGTCAAGCCAGGCGCGGTTGTTTTGAGCTTAGCAGCGAATGACGCTGCGTTCACACTGGACGTAGCTGGCGCGACAGAAGCAGCGAGTTTACAGGTGCTGGTCATAAAATTAGAATATCATGAAAAAGTAGATTGATTTCAGTAATTCCATTTAAAAAGTGAAACTTGTATATTATATTCATACATTACATACAAACTCATATATTTCAGATGTTTATTTTGTTTAATTTTGATGATTACAAATGAAAATCTCAAATTCATCATATCAGAAAATTAGAATATTACTGAAGACCAATAAAAACAAAGGATTTATAGAAATGTTGGCCAACTGAAAAGTATGAACATGAAAAGTATGAGCATGTACAGCACTCAGTATTTAGTTGGGCCTCCTTTGGCCTGTATTACTGCAGCAATGCGGCGTGGCATGGAGTCGATCAGTCTGTGGCACTGCTCAGGTGTTATGATAGCCCAGGTTGCTCTAATAGTGGCTTTTAGCTCTTCTGAATTGTTGGGTCTGGTGTATTGCATCTTCTTCTTCACAATACCCCATAGATTTTCTATGGGGTTAAGGTCAGGAGAGTTTGCTGGCCAATTAAGAACAGGGATACCATGGTCCTTCAACCAGGTACTGGTAGCTTTGGCACTGTGTGCAGGTGCCAAGTCCTGTTGGAAAATGAAATCTGCATCTCCAAAAAGTTGGTCAGCTGCAGGAAGCATGAAGTGCTCTAAAACTTCCTGGTATGTGGCTGCGTTGACCCTGGACCTCAGAAAACACAATGGACCAACACCAGCAGATGACATGGCACCCCAAACCATCACTGACTGTGGAAACTTTACACTGGACTTCAAGCAACGTGGATGAAGTGCCTCTCTTCTTTTCCTCCAGACTCTGGGACCTTGATTTCCAAAGGAAATGCAAAATTTACTTTCATCAGAGAACATGACTTTGGACCACTCACCAGCAGTCCAGTCCTGTTTCTCTTTAGCCCAGGCAAGACGCTTCTGACGCTGTCTGTGGTTCAAGAGTGGCTTGACACAAGGAATGCGACAGCAGAAACCCATGTCTTTCATACGTCTGTGTGTGGTGGTTCTTGAAGCACTCACTCCAGCTGCAGTCCACTCTTTGTGAATCTCCCCCACATTTTTGAAGGGCTTTGTTTCACAATCCTCTCCAGGGTGCGGTTATCTCTCTTGCTTGTACACTTTTTTCGACCACATCTTTTCCTTCCCTTCGCCTCTCTATTAATGTGCTTGGACACTGAGCTCTGTGAACAGCCAGCCTCTTTAGCGATGACCTTTTGTGTCTTGCCCTCCTTGTGCAAGGTGTCGATGGTCGTCTTTTGGACAACTGTCAAGTCAGCAGTCTTCCCCATGATTGTGTAGCCTATAGAACTAGACTGAAAGACCATTGAAAGGCTTTTGCAGGTGGTTTGAGTTAATTAGCTGATTAGAGTGTGGCACCAGGGGCCATCAATTTTGAACCTTTTCACAATATTCTAATTTTCTGATATGATGAATTTGAGATTTTCATTTGTTGTCATTTGTAATCATCAAAATTAAACAAAATAAACATCTGAAATATATGAGTTTGTATGTAATGTATGAATATAATATACAAGTTTCACTTTTTAAATGGAATTACTGAAATCAATCTACTTTTTCATGATATTCTAATTTTATGACCAGCACCTGTACATGCAAAGTCAATGGTTGACGCGCGTCAAGGCGCAGCAAAAGGTCCCGCGGCGCGTTTTGAGCACCAGGCGCAGCACGTCTGAGCAGCTGAAGCAGCGCGTCGGGTGCGTTTAACGCAGGGAGAGAGACACAGCGCTGATGATCACTCCTCTTAAACAGTTTATTGACGCCTAAATTAACTTAAAATGCAGAAATCTGCCGGCAGAATATGCAGTTTGGATTATTTAGATGAAAAACACCTACCAGCTGCCGCGGTGAACCGCTGCTGATGAAGGGATCCATACTGTTGGCGCCCCGCTGGTATGTGGGGGTCTGAGCGGCTCCGACAGAAAAAATATTAAAGGCAGGATAATAATCTGAATGAACTGACTGCACTGATTACGTTTTCAGGTGTATTTTCTCACTTAAACACATATTAAAACTACTTTATTCCCACTGATCATAGCAAATATAGCTGCAAGGCAGAGAAAGGATAGTGAAGCTCCGCCCAACGCGCCTCAGACACAGCCAGAGCAGCAAAGCTGCTTCAGCCACACGACAGAACTAACTGGTACAAGCAGCAAAAAGGAAGCAGCAGACGCGATTTTGCTGCTTTTGCTGCGAGAACGTAGCATAACTGCACAAAGATTGCCACTGTGCTAGCAACGAGAATGCTTTTAACTGGGGGCGTGTAGCAGTGTTCGCGGTAAAGCAAGACTGACTCTCACGAGACTTCTGAGCCTGTGGGTGCGGGTCGGTGCTCCTGCAGTTGCAAGTGCAGTATTTCCCCCACAGACCACCAGGGCAGCCGAGAATACCTTTGTTCAACCTGAAATGACTCATTTAGTCTTCCATAACGTTATGGAACACATTAATTAAGTGAAAAATGTTGCATAGTGTCCCTTTAAGACATTTTATAACCGTGCCTCGAAGCTGTATTATCATGTTCTGTTTTCACAAATGCACGAAAATGATCAGAACCAAGGTAGAAGTGCTTAATCTGGAAATCTAAGCTAGATTTCTAGTATCAAGGTTCCACAATCACAGCAATCCCTCATGTTGGCCACTAGGTGGAGCGCGAGTGTTTCTTTGCTACCTTAAGTAATGTTCATGCGCAAAAGGTAATTGTAAAAAACTTTCTTTTGCATTTTTTTTTAATAACGATTAAAATATTAATATATCAAAGTTCCTTAGTATGTTTACATTTAATTTTAGTTCAATTTTTTTTATTCCACAATATTCGTGCCTCCAGAGAAATACTTATGTCCGAATACATTCTTTTTTTATGAGAATGTGTAATTAAGGTTAGCCTCATTATACTCTGAGAAAGTATGTTCACATATATCCTCAAATTACTTATAAGAAAAAGAAACGGAAGCAACAAAAACATGAAAGTAGTAGAGTTTAATATTTCCCAGGATTCCTGAACGCAGCAGACAGTTGTCGTCACAGCGTCAAGATGGTGGTATGTTTTTCTCCAGCTGCATGCTCCTGAATTAAAGCGCTCCCGTTCAGCTCGTTGTGTTTAAACTCTAACTTCTGTCTTCACTGCATGGTAGAAATTCGGGCTGCAGTTTAAAGCCACTCTAGAAAATGTGACGAACGTGAGGCCGATGGGGGAAGACTTCCGCTGGTTTCTAAAGGTAGGCTAGCTGCTAAGCTAGCATGCTCCTTCTGCCTCACCACTGTCCAAAACTGCTAAATGTCTAATTCTGATGAATCAAATGCAGTTATGAAATAGATTAATTTTCATTCATTAATCTTTTTGACGTAGGATGTGATGTATCTCCTCAGATTGGGTCATACCAAATTAATCAGGGGGTGTGGTTAACATCGGGCTGTTTTCTACTGCCTAGTCAGCAGTGTTGGCATGAATATTTTGTTTATTTACTTTATTTCTAAGAAAATTCTGCTGACATTTTAAGTGACGAGTTGCACCTACAACTTGTTTCTATGGGCGATAAATCTTGTTTACTTAAAGCTACAGTGTGTAATTTTCAGCGACATCTAGCGGTCAGACTGCAGACTGCAGCAACATGAACATCTCCCCCCCACCGCTTCTCCCCCCCAACAGTACGGCGAGCGTTACGGGACAAAATGTCTTCCACGACGTCGGAATCACCTACCTTCTCAAGTGATGAGGTTTGTTTACATAGATCATTTTACAGATAGTATTTCATTAGTCTGTGTAGGGTATAGATTTCATGTAGACTTAAGATAATAAATATACCCGTTATTTTTTCTACGTCGTTGTGAAGTTTTGGTGAGCTGCTTTGCATGGTGATATAAACAGACGAAGTAATTGTAGTCATTAGTTTAACAGCAAGATTGTGTTCGCTGGAAGAATATATATTCCCCGTTTACAGAGTCCAAGTCATGTTTGTGGCACGGGGGTTACAAGGCGAGGAAGAGGGAGAGGAAGAGGGCAGAGAGGCCGGGGTGGGCATGCAGCTAGGGCCAGGCGAGGGAGGGTGCCAGCAGGGTGAGAGCAGAGGAGGAAAGGCTTGAAGATCTCCAAAGGAGCCGGAGAGAAGTAACCGAGGTATATATCCAGAAAATTATTTTACAGAAAATTACTGAATCATTACCTGTGAAACGTCAGTGCTTACCTGTGCTGAATAAGTATACTGGAGAGTAACAGCATCATCACGCAGCATGTTATTGTTTTAGACAGGTCTGAGCATCCTGTACTCCAAAAACTGCAGTGATATTAGACAATTGTGTGTGTAGGATTAATTACCTGTCCAAGAGAAAACTGGCAACTTGAGCGTCACTTTGAAAACCTTTTTCCTCCATCAGTGACTTCCATCGTGTAAATGCCGTGCCAATGTTGATCCGTGTTTTTTGTCGTTTCTTGTCACGCTTGCGTTTATTCTCGTCGTGTTTCCGCTTCTTAGATGATGGGGGTTCGGTGTCCGCCGCTTTTCGTTGTGATACAGAGTAGGCATGATCCTCCATTCGTCTGATGTTTGGCCACACAGTGCCAAACAGTTTGCAAAGTCACTCACGCCTGCCGCCTTGTTCACCTTTCTTGTTACTGAGGCGCAGTATACCTGCTTCTTCTTCTTCTTTGGTTTCAGGCAGACTAAACGCTTCTCAGGCATAATACTGCCATCTATTGTTCAGTACCGTCTCAGTTCATCTCTCTCAACTTGCCGTAGTTATTTTCGAGCGTAATGGGAGATCTCGCAATCGC